TGAATATTTCTTTGTTCCTGAAGCAACCAAGTAAATACTCCATGATTTGTCATATAATATTACCATAGTCAGTGGCAGCCAGGGCTCACTAAGGCTGCTGGAGCAAAAGGCATCTCATGCAAGCAAAACCAAGAGATTAAGCAGCAGGAAGAGCTGAAAAGACACAAATATCTCTCCACCCTTCTTTGTTGACACATTCCAAGGATACTTCATTAAAATGGATTACAATTACACAGTCCATAATTAAATAAAAGAATAGAATGAATAATAGCTACTCAACTCTACAAATGAGCATAGCTATGCTCTACAAATGAGCATAGCTGCAGCCATTTTTCCTACTCATTTTTGGTTGCCACATAGAATGAAGGGAGGGTGGTTGCCCAGGTGCTTCGCCAGTCTAAATAATCTTTTGTCCCATAGGAACCAATGTCATTGGCTGCTCCCGAGACTGCAGGCTGGGCGTTGCGTAAAAAGCCCGCCAAGAAGATGTATGGGAACGTAGTTGCTTGCATAGTTTTAGGGGTGGGATTTTTTAACTTTGTATTGGGGAATTGTTATGTGTTTCCAGCCTTGGTTTCACTTTTGACGTGCTGATAGTTTGTAACTAATAAACATGTTCTTTGAGGAATTTGCAAGTCTCGGAGTTCTGCTTTATTCGTCTCTGTCTGTTGCAACTGTGACAGTAGATTTGTGAAAAAGTGATTGATTTAAGAGCATAAGAATAGCTTGATGAATCTGGCAAAGGCTCATCTTAGTTCAGCATTTTGTACCAAGCTAGAATGTTCCTAAGCATGAGATGGAGAAAGGTCCCTCTACTGCTATTGTTCTGCTGCAACTGGTATTTGGAGGTTTTTACGTCAGACTGTTGCCATGTCATGCGATCAAACTCTCTGAGAAAGACAGTTATGCTTGGAATGGTCAATAGTAATAGGAATTGAGGCCACCCAAAAATATGGTGGCTAGACACCCACAAAGCCAACACCAGCCATAGCATAAAACAAGCAGAAAAAGATCAGAAAATAAGAAGAGAGCTAATGTATAAAATTGTCAATAACTGAAAATATAGTATCATCTTTATCTGAGATTCAATGGAAAATGGAAAGTAAAGCTGGAGGTCTTTCAAGTGGCAATTTGAAAGTGCTCACAAGTGTGTGGGAAAAAAAATAGCAGAAGAACTTGTCAGAGAGCGGGCCTGGGGACAAATTTTGAGTGTTGCTGCTCTTTTCCAATAGGGCATCTTCTGACTAGCAGAGAAAGCAAAGCAGGCACCTTTGCCTGGTCACTTGGACAATTACAAAACACACCACCACATAAGCTACAAATGGCTAAGGGGTGGCTTTGTGGAGTTAAATGTAGTTGTCATAAGGCTCTATTAGGCAAACAAAGTCATCCAGTGAATGGGCCAGAATACTAAAAGGATTATCTGTCACCTATCATCACCCTCATCATCATCTGGCGGTCAACGTAATAGAATGTGATTCTGGGTGATCTATGATAAAACCATAAAAAGAAACAATATTAAATCACCATGAAAAAACATTGATATTATTATTAAAAAGGCTAGGAGAGAGCATTGGATGATATAAATAGAGTATCCAACTCAACAGATCCCCATTTCCTTAAGACCCCTAGGACTGTTGACACAGCAACATATTGAGCGATTTCTAGAAGTATGCCAGAGAAAGGGACAATCTCACCTGGGATGGGGGAATGGTGTTCCACCGAGTGGATGCCATGGAAGAAAAGGCCTGCCTCCTTGGTGCCCCCCAGATATAACTCCTCAGTAGATGGGACCCACAATATAGCTCCTTTTCTGTGATAGAATGGGCAGATGTAATCGGGAAGAGGCAGTCCTTCACATAACCCAATCCCATGCTATGAAGGGCTAATATAAGGAAAGAAGCCATGTCAAAGCTGGAAAAGGTATAGATATTGCAAAAAGAGATGGGAAAATGCACAAGGGAAAGAAATAGATTCCAGGAAGGATATTTTTGCCCTTCGCAGGTGGGAAGGACTTAAATATTAGAGTCTATTCTCAAAAGTAAGCCAATTCCTATTAAGTTGCATCCCACAACAGAAGGTATGTAGCGCTTCTTTGTTTTTTAGATGATTAAGAACCAAATAACATCAGTGTGATCATCTTGTGTCAAAGGTTTAATCTTGCTACTTCTGATAATTGCAATGTCACTTCTAAACTACTGCTGAAATGCAAATCAAACGCTGGAGAGCTTCATCGCAAGGCATTAGGAAATGCTTGTGAAGTGTGCTGAATTATATTCAGTATAAAAATTAGAGTGAAACAGTAGGGTTCAAATTTACCCTTGGAGAGCTAATTTGTTTTCAGAATCATATTCCATTGTACAATCATGAAGGTCAGAATTAAGATTCCAGCTCACGTTCTTTAGAATGTCCATCTTAGAATACAAATCTGAACAAGAAATGTATCAAAAAAATAAATATAACTAACATTCGTAGAGCAAGGCTGAACAATTTTTAGGGGTGGGGGTGTTAAGATCTTCCATAAATGGTGGAGATATCACTTAGACAAGATTTTCTTTTTTTATTGATTTGGGTATTCTCTTTGTATTTTAAGATGTATCTTTCTTTGTATTTTTAAAATGATCTATCCAATAATTTACACAATAGTTTTACTATATTATATGTTTTGTAGAAAAACAGCAGAAAACAGATTTGTTGATGGAGGCTGAGTGGAAGTTAAAAGCACATAGGTGTTCATGGGGATCTGTATTACTCTGTATGAAAGCCATACAGAGTATTTATCTGTCAATTGTGCAGTTTTACTGTGACCTTAAGGATGTGCAATTGTTCCATAGGACATGGCTGAAGTTGATGATTGTATGGAAATTGCTGAAATCATGATGGAGTTTTATGAGTAATTCATTTCCATGGGTCCAGATGTTAAGAATATTATTATGGTTCTCAAGTAAAGGAAAGGCTCCAGAGTCAAGAGTTGAGAAAGCATGGCCATGAACACTCATAGAACTTTACAATATGGTTGATCTAGAACACATTCTTCACAGATATCCTAAACTGCATTTATTCTGATTAACTTGACAGAAAAGTTTAGCTCAGTGGTGGCGAACCTATGGCACGGTGCCAGAGGTGGCACTCAGAGCTCTCTCTGTGGGCATGCATGCTGTCGCCCCAGTCCTAGGCCTTCAGATGGGTTTTATAAAACCTTTCACTTTAGGCCTCTGCCGCTGTGTGCAAAAAAAAAAAAAAAAGGTTGAATCAATCAGTCAATTTCAACTTCTCGCAGGAAAAAAAGGATCTTGCAAAGTTGGAATTGATTGATTGAACTTTTTAGTCCCACCCAGTCTGCCATTACCACTGCAGCCATGCCCACCTGATGGGCCACACCCAGCCAATGGGCCACACCCAGCCAATGGGCCACACCCACTTGGCACCCGATGATGCATAAGTGGGTTTTGGGTTGCAGTTTGGGCACTCGGTCTCTAAAAGTTTCGCCATCACTGATTTAGCTGATAGAATGAAACCAAGCATTCAGGAGAGAGAACTATGCACCCAATAAGATCACCAGACAAATCAATAGAACCAGATCGACTGCTGGGAGGCTTTACTAAAAGATCACAAAAGGTGAACCCACTGTTATCACTAGAGCTTATTGCTCAAACTACTCAAATTAATTATTAATATTCCGTATATTGTATGATGACATTGTGGTTTCTCAGATATGGCTTCAAGGACTGTACTTGCATATAGATAACCATCCAACCTGAACCAGTTTTTCACAAGCAACAAACAAAGACAATACAATGATGCTAACATGGAAATCAGACACTGCAACAAACCCTGATGTCTATTTTGTATCCATATTTACATCAGTTGGACCATTCATTACCCCTGTCCCCAACCTTCACACATTCTTTCTCCAATGTGATATAGACCTTCATCCACCAGGCACACCCCTCTGGATTCTGCATAGAATAAATGGGACAAATTTTGTGCAAAATAATTAATGGTTGATATTAAGACTTAAACTGAGTAATATTAGAGCATTTCAATCTCAAGGTGCCCATCTTAGAAAAAGTGAGAGTTTAACAACATGACTGAGCAACAGATCACTGAACATGCAATATAATATAGGTTTCAGGCTATTGTAAAAGGTCTCAACAAACACGAGTTTTTAAACACTACAATTGTTAACTAATACTTCTACTGTATCTCACATGTAATCTGTATCTGCACACGCAACCCATCTTATCCGCTTCCAGCCTCATTGCAGTTTAAATTCTATAAGATCAATTTAGCATCTTGCACTTCTAAAATGAAGAGCTGCATATTAAATGTTCATGCTTTTTAATAATATTTGTTAGTGGGAAATGGTGCTCCTAGACTTCTTCTGATATTTGTAGATTCTTATGTATACCCAAAGGGGCATTAGGCTTTCGGTATTCACCCACAACAGAAGCAGATGTTCCCTGTTACATTCTGTTTGAATGCATGCTTGTTTCTGGTGATCTAATTTTCCAGTAAATAGAGATTTTTCTCTTCATTTTGCTTTATAACAACCACCACCATTATCACAAGGAAGGTGTTTGGGAATGTATGAGCAGGTATTTTAATTTTTTTCTTAAAAAGTGTAGCAACAACAGAGATATTTACACACATATATACAGATACAGACACACAGAGATACATTTAGACCAAGACCAAATCCTCTTGCTGGAGGGATGCAGTGTCCCTTTTTTGACATTCTGGTGACTAACACTTGAAAGCTACTCAAATAGCTCTCAAATATTAGGGCTTAGTGAGAAAGCATCAGTAACTCATTCTAGACCATTAACAAATCATCTCCTGAGCCACTAATAACCCCACAGCCATAATCAAATATACCATACCTGTACAAAATAATCTAGCAGTATAGGTAAAAGAAGGAGGAGAGAATTCTGTATCATAATTGGAAAAAAATGTTTCCTATGATTTGTATTTTTATTGTCCAAAATAAATGTACTTACAGTATTGATCAGATTCTTCTGTGTGGCCTTCTCATCTGCCTGCAGTGTTTCACGGAATAGCTTTTCCAATGAGTTGAGTATGCGGAGAGCAGCACGGTGTCTAACACTAACAGCCCAGAGTTGAAAAGCAAGGGTAGCTGGACTTGCAAACCGGAAAAGTTGTAATAAAATTTTAGTCCCACAATACCTGGACTGGACAAACTAGAATTTCAAGACAGCAGCCTCCTTGTCCTTTTACATATTTGCATAAGAGTGAAGAAAAATGGATGTCCAAAAAGAATGTTTGACAAACCATAGGTTACACTATGTAGTGCAACACCCAAGTTGTGTGGAGTTGATAAAGAAGGTCTTGAAATACTTGATACTTGAATGCAAACAAATGAAGTCCTGCAGAAGGTAGTGGAACAAAAGCCAGAGGTGATTAAGATCATGCCAGTCATTACGGCTCCGCATACATAAGGCTGATAAATATTAATTTTTTTCTCATGTGATTGCTACACACATTTTTTTCAGCAACAGCTATGCCTTTCACAATCCTTTCTTTAGATTAGTTTGTTTCACTGTTTCTTTAATTAGAAAGATATCTACTATCTACACACTTTTAAAAAAATTCCAAGTCTTTAACTTCCAGAGAATCAGCTCTACAATGAGATCATGAAAATAAGAGGAAACCAAAATGAAATGTGACAAGTGAGTTGTCTACATGTGTTATTAATTTAGATTTCAGTCCAAAATCCTCCATGATGTTACCAAGAAACCAGAAGCCTTATGAATGGTAAAATTTCCAAACACAATTAACAGACGTGTGGAACCAAAGCTAGCAAGACAGTAAAAATTTAAGAAATGGATGTTAAAGTGATGGAATGATTAATGGGCAGCATTGTCTTTATCTCAGATAGTCTACAACTGGAACTGGTGTATGAGGAAAGCAAAGCAGGGTGTGTTAGAAAGACCTAGTTACAAAAATCTGAGGAGACCTGCTACAGTAATAGATAGACTTGGCAAAATGATAGGGTTGCCAGGTCTGAGTTACGTATATCCAGATAGCCAAGAAATATCAGAAGAAATAACCTGTCTTTGCTGCCATCTGCCGATTTTCTGGATTTTTGCACCCTACTTCTAGCAGTCAGTGGAGAAGACATTGGAAATGCTGTGCCAAAAAGATACCAGCACTCGCTTCATTTCATGCCAATGAGGTCATGAGACTAGTCCCTGGGCAAATACTTGTTAGAATGTAATTATGGTGTGGTTGCATCAACTTATTCAGAGACCTTTGATTTTTAATATGTTGCTGAAGCACTGAACTCTGCATTGTATATACCCTGAATAAGTACCCAGAAGCTACCTTGGAGGCAACAGTAGGCAAATTTTTAGTTACACATTTTCACATTCTCAAACCCTCATACAGGAATTATTATTTTTATTACTTAAGATTTCTTTGCTTTGCTGCTCCCTGCTTTGGTATTTGACCTGCAGCAATGTAACAGATGTCTATTTTGTGGGTTTTAAAAATATTGATTACTTGTACTTTATGAATATATACTTATAATTTTAATTCATATGGTTTTGCTTGGGTAGTAGTTGCGGTGATATAGTTTTAAATACCTGTGCTTCTGTCTCATCTTTCTTCCTGCCAATATTCAAATTTGATGAATTAAAATATATTTTTAATCTTGAAAGCTGCAAATTTTTAAATTAAGAACTGCAAACTTTTTCATATATATTGGGATATTTTAATTTCGGTTGCCTCTAATGATTATTTAATTAATCCTGTGTAATAAGCTTATAAAATGCTTTGTGTGTACATGCATTAAAAGGGGTTACAAAACTTTTTCAGATTTCAAACAGCTGTTGGGGGCCGTGCTATCCCTCTATCCCTCTATGTCTGTCTGTCTGTCTGTCTGTCTGTCTGTCTGTCTGTCTGTCTGTCTGTCTGTCTGTCTATCTATCTATCTATCTATCTATCTATCTATCTATCTATCTATCTATCTATCTATCTATGCTTAAAGCTAGATAGCTAATATGATCACTCTCCAGACGTGCAATGTACTGTGTAATTACAATTTGGCAAGAACATTTGAAGAACCCTGCAGGCCACATCAAAGACTTCCCAGAGTCTCAATTTGTGTGCCTCTGGAATAAAACTCTCCAGCTTCTCCTTCCAGCTCTCTGGCTTTGGAAATGAACTGTCTGAAATTAGAGCAATACATCTTCATCCTGTTAATCGTGTGTTCAGTGTATATGGAGGCAGTCTGCATAGCATGTGCAATCACCACACCATAAAAATGATGTGATATGACTGTGTAAATATGATTTAAAAAAAAGGAATTAAAAAAACGTCAACAAAGAAAAATATGAAATTAAATTTATGGTGATGACCATGATCTTATATGGTTTTAAATAGGAGAATTAGATTAATTTATGGTAAATGAGCCTGTCTGTAGCTGCTAATCATAATGTCTATATTCTGCTTCCAGTATGAAATATAGCTGGTTTCTACAAGTCACTTTTTCAAAATAAGATGGCTATTGCTTTTCACAGGCATCTGGTCAGTTACCTAAGACTTTGTACCTTGAATAGTTATATACAAGAAATAATGTTGCTAGTGTAATGCAAACGTTGATGCAGGGATCTCTTTTGCAGCTGACTGTCTAAATGTGCTTGAAGATGACCACTGTAGGAAACAGAACATTAAAGAACCTATCTCTTTGAACTTGCTATTACAGGCTGTCAGGTCAACAGAATGACAAAGGAAAGAAGACACGTGGCATCAAAATGGAGACTCAAATATCACATGCAATCTAATGTATAATGAATAATTAATAATAATAATAACAATAACAATAAGAATAATAAAGTTGGAAGGGACCTTGGAGGTCATCTAGTCCAATCCCCGCTCAGGCAGGAAACCCTATACCATTTCAGACAAATGGCTGTCCAGTCTCCTCTTAAAAACTTCCAGTGTTGGAGCATTCACCGCTTCTGGAGGCAGGTTGTTCCACTGATTAATTATTCTAACTGTCAAGAAATTTCTCCTTAGTTCTAGGTTGCTTCTCTCCTTGATTAGTTTCCATCCATTGCTTCTTGTCTTGCCTTCAGGTGCTCTGGAAAATAGCTTGACTCCCTCTTCTTTGTGTCAGGCCCTGAGATATGGGAACACTGCTATCATGTCCTTCTCTTCATTAAACTAGACATATCCAATTCCAGCAACTGTTCTTCAGTCCCCTAATCATCTTGGTTGCTCTTCTCTGTACTCTTTCTAGAGTCTCAACATCTTTTTTCACATTGTGGTGACCAAAACTTGATGCAGTAGTTCAAGTGTGGCCTTACCGAGGCATTGTAAAGTGGTATTAACACTTCACGTGATCTTGATTCTATCCCTCTGTTAATGCAGTCTAGCACTGTGTTGGCCTTTTTGGCAGCTGCAGCACACTGCTGGCTCATATTTAGGTGATCGTCCACTAGGACTCTGAGAACCCTCTCACAGTTACTACTATTGAGCAAGGTACCCCCTATACTATACCTGTACATTTGGTTTTTCTTGCCTAATGCACAGGTATAGTATAGGTGGTACCTTGCTCAATTATTATTATATACATAAAATATTCACAGTTGTCTGGAGCTAAGCATTTATGAATAAATGAATGAATGAATGAATGAATAAATGAATGAATGAATAAATGAATAAAGCAAATATGCTTGGCTTCATAGGAGGCAGGGAGTATGTGCTTCAACTCTAATCTAGTTGAGTATTGGGTACAAAAGTTTCTGGAATCTATTTCTATCTATTCTTTTTGGATTTCATTATACACTTTCCTGTTTCCTTTCCTCCTCTTTCCTCCACATCAAAAGGCTTTGTGCTACATTGCTTAGGAAGAGGGAACATTTGGCCCATATTTGTTGTGTCTATGATGCATATTTATTTTGATGGTAAAATTCATAACTTGCAAGCAATCAACTCTGCAGAGTTGATCCTGGAATCCTTAGATGGTTCTTATGATCTGGCCAATAGAGTTAAATGAACAAGAGGGCCAGCAATGACTTTGCAGGCAATTAGGGTTTCTTTTGGAATAACGTCACCTCAGATAAATTCCAGTCAGAAACTTATTGATCACAATTTATAACCTATTGAAATGTAATTCTAATCTGGAAAATGCTATTAAGGCCTAAAAGATGACTGGAATTAAGAGAAAAGAAACAAAATGTCTTGCAGGGAATAAGAATTCTGCTTCAATTTAGCAAACTTATATGGAGTAATCTGGGGGAAAAAGCTTTTCACTGACATCATTTGCTGATATTTGAGAATCACATGTTCCTTTATAGAAAAGGGAAATATAATATAACTTCATAAAATGAATAAAAGAAGCATTAGAAAATACTGCTGTGGGGATAGCACCATATGTGTTACATAAACCATTCTATTTATTATTATTGCTTAGTGAAAAAGCTATTATGGCATGATCTTTTAACATATTGAGATGATCCCAACACAATTACACAGTGGAATAAGAGACATTTCTGAGAAGACACAGCAGATTTATTTATCATTACCCCAAGGCTTTAGGATATTACCTAGCAGGTTTGCTCCTATTTGTGAGAATTGGTTGTTGAATTTTATGCAAATTAGATCTAAGCCAAAACATACATTTTTCTTGCTCTGCCTGGACAAGGCAACCTTCTGGCATAGAAAAAATGGAAAGCCTGGAGCAGAAGTGAGAAAGATTAGGCTTTCCATAATTATACTGTATCTCACGATATTTATTATATTTCTTGAAATAATGCAAGGTTTTTTTTGGTGCATCGATGTCCCAGTTATTAACTACTTTCATATTTCTCATTTTGAAAGGCTAACATGATGAGGTATGACAGAATTGTTCATTGCTAATTTAAATAATCCTGTACATAAACCACATTACAAGAAAACAAAATATTGCAACAAAACAGGCCTGGTTACTACATTCATCTCATAGCAAAGTCAGTTGTATACTTTTCCTGCCTCCAATATACAGATAGAAATGGAAGAGGTAACAATTTTAAAATCTCATTTAAAATGGCAGGCAACGGATTGAAAAGGAAAATAAAAAACAGAGTACAAATGGTTATTAATTCTGTTTCTGAAGCAAGTTGAATACAAAGG